CTCCAGTGCTGAAAGCTGTCGGCGCACGGAGCTGCCTGGGTATTTTCAGCTGAGAATTGAGCTCTGCTCTGATGAAGCCGTAACAGAATGCTGAAGAGGTTTTATTCAAATCAAGGTGTTACTGACTAATCCCTCCTCGAAGCACTCTGATGCCTTCGGTTTCCTGGGCTGCTTTTTCTTTCTGAGAGATTTTCTTTCTCCTTTCTTGACCTTCAAAGCCAACAAGGTTAAACTCCATGTGTAAAAGGCTCAAACCTCCCCCAGATCATACTTCCTGTGCCCAGGTGTTCAGACTTGGGTACAGAGGTGTCAGGTATGCTGTGAGATGCCTGGGAGCTCCTGCAGTTTGTGTTGGGATGGCAGCACGAACAGTTTCTGCTGCGCAGGGAGGACAGGACTTTTGTTCCACACCCTTGCAGTGGCAGTGCTCCCTTCTGTGCAGCCTGTGGCCAGCACAGGGGCTGGCTGCTGGGCTCATCCCCAGGGCAGCTGTGGTTGAGTGCAAGTGATGGTAGCAAATGCTGTGATGGAGTCAGGATGGAGCTGAGGGGAAGGTGAGTTCACAGGGAGGATTTCAGCCTTGTGGTTTTGCTGGCGTTGGTGGAGCAGGACAGAGGGAGGCAGTGCCACTGGGAGCCCATAGCCAGTACCCAGATGGGTCAGAGGTGCTGCGCATGGGAAGAGCCACAGGTATTCTCTGCGTCTCTACTCGTTTTGATGCCACCAGCCTGTCATTTCCCCTCTCTCGGAGGAGCTAATTATGGTGATGTTAATGATGCAGAGGTGCTGATGCTACCTGGGGTTTTAATGACTTCTCTACATTTTCTGCTATTTTTATGAGAAAGCCAGGAAGGGCCTTTGAGAAGTGAGGTGTGCAGTGCTGGGAGCACAGCAGTGGGCAGTGAGGCAGCCCCAGCCCTGCTGTTACTGCACAGGGGAAGTGTGCCAGTGCTTTTGGGTCAGGTCATGGTGTTTGCTGCAGGAACAACACTAGCAGCTGCTCACCACGCACCCAGGGTCGCTGTACAAGCAGGGATGTGCCCAGGGGCATGGTGACTTTGCTGGGTAGGAGGGCTGTCAGGGGCTGGAGAGAGGTTTTCCTGGGATTGCAGGGCTGTTCTGATGCCTGAGCACTGACATACTGCCATCAGCAGCTCTGCACAGCCCACGGGGTTTGTGCCTATCCAAAGGGTTGGAATGTGCTGTGAGCAGAGGATGTGGGTGAGATGTGGCTGCACGGAGTTGGCAAGGGCACTGTAGCCTGGAAAGGACTGAGCAGAGGTGCTGGAGCACTTAATAAAATATCTAAATAAATCTTTAATATTTCTAATTGCAAATGTACATAAATTGCACAGCCACATCATTTCTTTGAACACCAACAACTTTCTCTGTACATTATTACATAGTTTAAAAGGAGCTGAAGGAGATTCAGCAAACACTTCCACTTTGCATTTTTTTTGTTTTTGTTTTTAAACATACTTACAAAAAGATTTTTTTCTTTATAAGAGGATATAAAACATAGCGACTGCTTATCAGGAACAAGTATCAGCTTAAGCAGATATACAGAGAGAGGTATATCTTAAGACACAGTGATGTATGATAAAGGAATATGTGAACATGGAGACTGCACTTCGGGGTGCTGGCAGCTGATGCAGAACCACGTGGAATTTACAGCAATGTCACAGCTCAGGTAACCTGTGAAGTCAGTGCTTGAACACGACACCCTTTTTCAAAGCATGATTGTTTTTGGATGTTGTATAATGCTCTCAAGACTGGATTTGGTTTGGAAAGCCCATGCTTCTGTCATCTCCCACTCCTCCATGCCCTCCCTCTGATATTCCTCGAGGGAAAAGGTGCCAGTTACCCCTGCAGGGCTGGCCCATGGCTCAGATGGTTCTGAGCAGCACAGGGCCGCACAGGTGAGCATTGTGTCCTCTGGGGCTGGGGAATGGTGGTGGCTACAAGCCCACACTCTCTACGCTGGGCAGGGTGCTGCGAGTCCTGGATCAGACTTTAGTGTGTCTTGTGTTGCACGTTGGTATGGATTTAAGTAACAGGAGAAGCCCATGAGCATTCTCAGCGTTGGACGCAATTTGGGGGCTGCTCTCTCAGCAGACTGTGATATCTCACTCAGGTCCACTTGTGTCCCTTCTTCCTTTAGGAATATTCACAGCAGAACCCATGTCCTGCGCCCTGCAGCGACCTGCGGGCTGGCTGCCAGGCCGGCGGACTCAGCATGTTCTCACAGTGCAATCAGTGCTTTACAAGCAGAAAACAAAACCAACCAGACTCAAATGACAATGCAGAGTGACACAGGACTCTTTGGATGGCAGCAGGATTTGCTTAATCTGGTGCAAAAGGGGCTGGTGACTGTGCTGTAGTATTGACTGGCGTAGGGAAGGACCTGAGTCCCTCCGGTTAGTTGGCACTGCACTGAAGCCATAATCCCTGTCCAGAAGGATGGTACTCAGAGTCTGCAGAGACCCCAGAGTATCATTCAGTCCATTTCATCCCCCTTTACACAAAATTTTGCTCATTTTTTCTTTTTTTTCCAGAATTGTTTGCTACAGATTAACAAAACCCCAAATCATAACTCTTAAAACAGAATCCTTGAGGTGGGCCAACCTCAAACCTGGATCCCTGGCTGCTCCCCCTTCCCTCAGGTACCCCATGGGGAGGAGGCTGAAATCATAACCTGGGGCTGGATCCAGATTTGCCAGATGGAGTCCACCTCTGCTGAACAGCAGTGAGATACAGCCAAATCTTGACCAAATAAGCAGCACCAGAAGTAAATTACTATATACAACCATTAGTGAGATAGATACGTTACAGTAAACACTGAAAACATTTACAAAAAATATTAAGACTTGTATTAAGATAAAAATCTGAGTGTTTTAGTCTTGTTTACACTTTGACAAGTTTGCACTAGAACAGCCTCTTATTTTAGAAAGCGCAAGAATGAAAAAGAAAATGGAGCAGATCACAAAACATTACGCATAGTGGTTGCTTTACCGCGGTGCTGTGAGCACCTCCTGTAATTAATTGCCTCTGCTATTGCTACGCCAGGCACCAGGGCTGGGGCTGCAGCTGGGTACCTGGCACTGCCACTCTCTCACACACACACACATATATAAATGTACAGTTTATAAATAACAGAAACACAAACAGAAGTAACAGAACTGAGCTGAGCCTGGATCTTAAAATCTATTCCCCAAACCTTGACATGGGAAGGTTGTACTTAGGTCCAGTTGTTGATACTTGCAGCGTAAGGAGACACAGGAACAAGGGGCTGGGGAAGCTCCACTGTAAAGAGATATCATCCTGATTGGAATTCTGTTTTATACTGGCTTAGGAAACTAAGCAGCTCCAGAAGGTATTGGCACTGGAACTTGGAAGATTTTATTTTTTAGCAACTCACTGTGGAAGGACTTGAGCAGCCTGCTGTTGCAGCAGGGCATTGTGCTCAGTGATGTGCATGTTTGAGGTTACCCAGGATTTTCTGACAGATCTTGGGGAAAAAAAGCAAAAAGGGGAATGGCAGTATAAAAGCAGTGCCTTGGCTGGGGAGGCAAGCAGATTTACTGTACTTTGCTTCAGCACTAACCAACTGTGGTGTGGGTGGGTCTTTCCTCCAGCTCTTAAGAGGGCACTGACTGCACCCCCAGATTTTGTCCACATACAAATGGAAGCGCTGCCTGTGGGGGCGTCTGCCCCATGCCCTGGTAGTGCTTCCATTCCTTTATGTTGAACAACTTCCATCTCCCAACACCAGTATTTTGGAGCTCAGAAACAATTGGCTCTAAAATTCCATCTCAGGGCAAGAGCAGTTTAAAAGTCTTTTTTAGCAGGGTTCTTATCATGTATATAAAGAACAACAGCAGAAGTTACTTGTATGAACCAAACTGTTCATGGTACCCTGTGTATTCCTAACCTGCCTGGGTCTTTCTCCAGTTGTAACCTTGTCAGCTGTGTCAGGTTCTTCAAAGACATCTGTGCTATTCTCCACATGCTGTACTTGGCATAAACACTTTTAGTGATTACTTTTCTCTGAGGAGCTCCTTTTGGGGTCTCTGTGTACTTGCACCATTCTGCAGGCGTTGGTGGGCTGCGGAGACCTCAGTGCAGAGCAATGCGTTCGCTCCTCCAAGGACCGGAGCTGCAGCAGCTGCAGCCGCACCAGGCTTGGCCCAGGGCTTCCAGGCAACAGAAAAACATTTACAAAAATTAAAAAAAAAAAAATCATCTTAAATTTTGAAAGCAATTGCATGAGGAAAGATGCTGTTAGTGAGCCTTACAGCTGTGGGGCAGCATGGCAGTGCAGAGCTTATGGCACATCGCGTCCTGCTCAGGCAGCCCGGCGAGGCTGCAGGTGGTACCTAAGCTGTGCAGAGCTCAGTGAACGTCCTAGTACCTTTGACTGTACATTTACACGTGGCAGGAGGAGCTAGGACAGGCGGTCAGCAGTGTGTTAAACTTTAGTGGGAGGAATAGGCAGATGTCCTGTACACTGTACACTGTCATCCGTGTCTCAGAGAAATCTCTCTGGCTCTTGGTCCGAGTGACCTGCTCTGAGACTGGGAGTCGTGAAGCTCTAACTGAACAACCACAAACCAACAAACACCGTGGCGGCAGGTCAGCGGCACAATCCCCCGTTAAGGAGGTGACCCCTCCACTGAGCAACATGTCTGTGTGTGCCGGGGCTGCGCGTCTCGGCAGTTAGGAAAGTCTAATCCTGGCTTATGCCTGCACAGTGCTCCTGACAAAGGGGCTCTCGGTGGTGGCTGCTGTTCCTGTTGGTTACTCCCTTATGACCATGTTTTACATTCTTCAAGCCGGTTAATTTCCATGCAGTGCTCATTCCCAATTTAAAGAGGACAGTATTCCAGAATATGGGCTCTTTTTTTTTCTAATGCATACTGTGAAAGAAAAGAAATACAATTACCGATCTTCATGGTTCTTCATCGCCGTTCTTGTTTCTTTGCCTTTTTTTTCCTCCCCAGAAACAGTAAAAATCTCTGCACAGAGCATGACATCCCCATAATGAACTCTTTGTCAAGCATGAAGTTGGCCACGTTCAGCCTGGCACTCCCCCTCTCCACAGCGAGCACCAGCAGCAAATCCAAACCCTGCACTTCACTCACAGCTTGGGGACAGCAAGCTCAGGTAACCTTTAATTTGTTCTGTGGTTATGTGTGTGGTAGGGAACACAGTGCCCTGGAACTATTGCTTTACAAGACTTGTCCCCAGTGTTTGTGAGAGCAGAAGCTGGGAGTGGAACCAAGAAATCCTGCAGGGCCCAGATCCTCCCTCCACTGACACAGGAGCCTGAGGCCCCTCCTTCTCATAGGCGCTGCCCAGGGCCCCACAGCCCCAGCAGCACCCACATGGCCCCCACATTGCACTGAGCGAGCCCTGACCATCCTGCTGGGCTCTGCCCCCGTATGGGCAGAGTTCATTAAACTCTGATGTGCTGTGCAGATGCCCTCTGGACAGCTACCCACTGCAGAAGTAAGTGGCAGCACAAAAGCTACATAAGGAAGGCCAAAGGCTCAGGGATTGCTCTGGGGATGGGGCTGTGCTCCAGGGGGAGTCACAGGAGGAGCAGGCCAGGCTCCTGCCAGCCCTTGTCCAGCATACGCTGCCTGTACTGAGGGTGCTGCCCACTGCAGGCTCTGCCCAGCTCCCTGCATTTTGCCTCCTGCAGCGCAAGGACATTACTCCTTGTTGGGAGGGGGGAGGCGTATCCTCTGGGCAGTTTGGAAGGAAAAGGTTACTTCTGTTTAAACATTAAACACTGATTTAAATCCAACAGTGACAGCAATTCTCAAATATATCTTATTTCCTTATGCCACTCATCTCACACTTGATCTTTCCGTCCCCTCAATGTGCTGGCATTAGCATCTCCCACAAAGGCTCAGTCAAGCGCGCCGTCCGCAGTAAGGAGCTGGGTTCTCTGGGGAGAGAGCAGCCGTTCTCTGAAGCCGCGGCTCACACCTGCTGCTGCACGGTCTCTCTGGCCAGGCCTCCTCCTGCGGCAGCGCCCTCCGCGGGTTAACAATTACTGCTGTTTCTGAATTCTCCATTCTCTGTAATCTGCAATTTAGTTGGGTTTGTGGGGGAGATCCCATTACGTGTCTGCATGCTGTACCTCTCTTTCAGCTGAGTAAGGGCACTCATTAACCGTGCGTTGGCAGCATCCAGTGAAGCAATGCGTTTCTCCTGCAAAGAAACAGACAGGGGGAACCGGCAATGGAAACACATGGAGAACTGTCTCTGCCATACCACGGGTTGTTGTGAGCTAGCAACCCATGGGCCTTTGGGACCAGCACCCCTCAGCAGCCCACTGCTGACAGCAGGTCTACAAATGGCTTTGCCTGTGTTTTCCCCTGCTGCTGCCAGGTGAGCAGACATCTCTGCAAGCTGTGTGCTCCAGGCTGGCCTGGTAGCAGCCACATCCCAGCCAGAAGGCTCTGTGTGCCGGACTGGGTTGGTGCTGGTGCATGGTGCTCTGCAACCTCCAGCAGCTCCATGTCAGGCTGCATGGCTGTGGCTGTAGCCTGGATTAGAACTGTGCTGGGCTGTGCTGTGCCAGGTTTGCGCAAAGCCTGTGTTTCCTTCAGGGAAGCTAGAGTGAAAGCCCCTGAAATTCTGGGTTAGGACAGAATTTGAGGATTATTTCTATGAGGAATAAATATCCTCTCTGCAGGACCAGCTCCAGAACCATCTGCAGGGGAGCATGAGAGTTCTGCATGGCTGCAGGGACTCTGGGCAGCAGTTCTGCAGCCCTGACCCCATTCAGAGAACAGCTCTGGCTACAAGAGATCCCTGTTAGAGCTTCTGCCCTGCTCCCAGCCTCATGGAGGCTTTGGCACATCAGGCTTTTAAACAAGCAGAATCTGCGCTGAATAAATTTTATCATACTATGTTCTAATTGGTCCTGAACAAAATGGAGATAAAGTACTTTTTCTAATTTTTCAATGATACAGAAATTGTATTGTTTGCTTTAACTGCAGCTGTTATGAAGACGATAAGATTCCTGTTCTAAAGCATAGTTCTCTCCCAAGATGGTTATTCCTGTCGGTGTTTAATTGATTTTGTTAGTGTAAATAAATGCCTTAAATGACTTGTGGCCTCCCAGGACGGCTATGATGGCATAGCTTATCCTCACTGATTACACTGAGGGGTCCAGTGCAGTATCATGGGGACAAGAGCAAGAGCTGCCATACTGCAGCCTGATCCTGCCATGCCTGCACATTTCCTGCTGTCTGCTGTGAGCAGGCAGAATGAAAATAACACAGAAGGGCACGGCATTTTGCCTGTGCAACTCTGAGGATCACACACAGTGTGAGATGACGAGAAGCAGAAAAGTGCAGCACACAGGCTTGGGTGAGAGCCCCATAGGTAACACTGTGGAGCCTGGAGGAAGTGCTGCTGGTTGCAGCCCCCAACTGTGTGCCCCACACTCCCCCTTACCTGCCAGGCTTTGCCCTAGCACAGCAGGGAACGTGTGCTGATTTACTGGCTTGGAACAAATTACCGTACAGGAAAACAGTGATTCTTTTTGCAAAGTTACCACCATCTCATCTCCCTTTTAATTAGTTATACAGTAAATTAGTCATGAGTGGTGACTCACAAGAGATTAATATGGTCATTAAGAGAAAGCCTACAATTCACTAGCACCTAGCCATAACCTGAAGCTGCCTAAACAAATGAAAAGATGATGGGCTGTATTTTCAGATCCTCTGTTCCAAGCACAGTGTTTTCCACCACCATCTGATGCCCCTCTGCCATTCTAATCTGTACCACTAACTGTGCTTCCCTCAGCCCTCGTACAGTCCTGCACAGACTGGCCGTGGCCCTGGGCATCCCTGCAGGGAGCAGTGCTGACTCCCATGTGCTGACCATTTGCACAAGGTCAGTCTCCTGGCACTGCCATTCCACGCTCTTCCAAGCTACAGGCCCTGCCTCCTCCCCTCTGCTCCCTCTGCCCTGCAGGCATGCTTTCCTTCCCTGCTCTGTGCATTTGCTCTCCTCTTGTCTATCATTCCCCTGCCCTTCTGTTGGCTGTGCCCTTCTCAAGACTTTGCTCCAGCCACCTCCTCTCTGCTCGGCCTGCTGTCACCCCCACATCCCCATGTTACCTGCCAAACACCAAGGCTGGAAAAAGCTGCAGAATGCAAATGCCCTGGCAATAGAACAGTGTCCTGCTGAGGGCTGACCCACCCTGTCACTGACTGCAGCTTTGTGCTGATGCACCCCATGCACGTGGTCTGACCGCACTTGATCTAGTGCTGCTGCACAGCAGGGAGGCTGCATGTTGGCAGAGTCACTCCAGAGTGCTGCAACCCTCAGTGTCAGGGACTCACCTGTGCATCAATGATCTTCTGCTTGGAGTCCACGGCAGCCTGCATTTCTGCGTGGTCTTTCTTCAGCTCCTCCTCAACTGACATCAGCCTGATAGCCAGAGAGACAAGAAAATAAAAACATGTTTTCAAGATGCAAAGTGCATCATCTTTGTAGTGTTTTGTACTGCTTAGGGAAGTGATCTGAGAGCTGGGGGCACCTGGAGGAAAGGGGACCCTGCAGGCCTGCAGCTCCTGTCTCCCTGTGGTACGGGTTGGCTTTGTGAAAAGTACACTTCATAAGAAGAACAAAAAGTATCCTAAAGGCCCTCAGTGAAAGGGCAGGGACAGCTTTAGTGGATGCTTCATCAACACTGAGGAAGAAAAGGCTGATATGCACCTCTGCAACATGTGGGAGGAGGTATGAAATGGTAGAGACCCCGGCCTGCAGCCCCCAGCATCCAGACGAGATCTGGGCACTTAGCTGAGAACGCAACACTGAGGCACACTGAGATGCTCTCACAACAAGCAGCTGTGTGTTCAAACTGAAAAGGGACATGGGTATTGCCACCACCTGCTGTTACACACAAACCAGTGGTTCAGTGCATCATTTTTCTGGCTATTAATTTTGTCTAGACAACCACAGAGCACACTGCCCAAGAGCTTAAGTGATTAAGGCCAGGGAAGGAAGACTTATTTGTGAGTGCTGATTAAAAAAGCAGAGATGTGGCTCTGCTCAGGTAAGGTGAAACTAGTGGGACTGAACAACGTGGTCAGCGCTAATGCCAGCCCTGCTGCCTCCCCCAGCTGCCCTGTACCTGCTGATGATGCCCTTCATCTGGATCTCCTTATCCTCCTGCTGTCTCCGCAGCCGCTCCTCGCTCTCCTCCAGCCTGGCCTGGTACTCCAGCATCAGTTTCTGCGTTGTCTCCTCCTGGCATTTGAAGCGTGTCTCGTACTCCTCCAGCTTCTTGTTGGAGATGCGCAACTTGTCCTGCAGCACCACCAGGTCCTGCTGGTACTACAGCACGCGGGGACAGACAGGAGGAGAAAACATTTGAAGCACGTCATCACGCATGGCTCTGCCCTTGCCAGGGTTTCCCCACAACCCGACTGCCCCTCTCCTAGCTGCAAACCCATATCAGATAACCCTGCTTGCCGACACCTCCTCTTCCGTCTTCTCCATGCTGTGCTGGGAGCGGCGCTGCGTCCTGCAGGGCTGGCACGGCGCTGGCACGTTCAGAGAATGGACTGTTAGCAGAGTTCAGCAGTTCACATGGGGAAAGCAGGTTAGAGTGACTGAATGGCAAATGCACCTTCCTCACACTACGCGCAGGGCTAAACACAGGCAGGAAAAGCTGAACTGGTGGGATTTTGGGTTAATGCACGAGCTCTTCAGCCTGTATCAATAAACAGGAGTGCTCTGCAGATGCTGAAAACACAAGTGCAGCAGCCCCAGTTGGAGCAGGTGCAGCTGCCTCCCGGATGGGGCAGCTCTGGGCTGAGCCGGGCAGAGACAGTGCTGCAGCCCCACATCTCAAACCCTGCAAGCAGATGGCAAGCCAGGGCTCAGTCCCAGAAGAACTGCTGCATGAAGCCAAGACCCCACAGGCTGTGCCGATTACACAGCTGAAGCTAAACAGCAGCAACAGAAGAATCACATAAAGCAATTACAAAAACAGCTTTCTGACTCAGCAAAGCTGGGTTCAGCTGTTCGAGAGCATTCAGCGCAACTTACTTTGCTAAAGGAAAATTCAGTGCAAATCTGTGTAAGACTTTAATTTCAAAGTTATCTTTGAAAACCGTCTATTAAAAAATCTTAACTTTAATGACCTTAGAATCATTAACACACACCTGATGTTGTGAAGAGCTGTGAGTCAGACTGGAAAAAAAAAACACCTGGGCCATGAGAGCAGTTATAAGGCCACAGGTGTTGCATAAGTACAAAGAAGAACATGCTGAATCCTGAACTGACTGTAGCTTAAAACAGAGCCCTGCCCTTTGGCCATCTCCAGCCACGTGAAGCATTCACATTACAAATGTTGTATCCTGATGCTGTGAGTCCTGCTGGGGAGCTTCCCTGCCAGATCAGCTCCTTTGGAGAGGAAGCACAGCCACTGAGCCCTATGCTCCAGCTCACATAAGCAGTGCTCTAAGAAAAACCTCTCCTCTTCCCAACTGACTGCAGAAGGAGCTCATCTCCTCCAGGCTGAAGGTGTGTGATGCTGAGGGGCCTCCTGATGGCTAAAGACTGAGTGGGAAGGGGCTGTAAGCTCCTCCCAGCTGGGCACAGATGGCCACAACAGATCGCTGTTTTTCCTTTAGCAAAGCTTTTACTAAGGCACTGAAAGGACACAGTTTGCATGTAGAACTCGAGTGATGGGAAACAAAGATGCCCATACAGATGCACAGAAGCACTGAAGTCAGACAGAAGGGAGATGCTCACACAGGAAAGATTAAATACCTACCCTAGACTTAAAATAGAAGCGGCATGAGTGTAAGTGATAGCGGGAGAGGCCTCAGAGCCCGAAGGAGTCGCTCCTGTCTCTACAACACTTGTCTCACTCCTGGTTACCATTCAAGTCTTACAGTAATGGGAAGAGAGATTATGCTAATGATGATCTTCGATGTCAGTGACTTTACAGCAAAGTAACAAAAGATGCTGCGTGGCAGTGAGACACCGGAGCAGGGAAGACACCTGTGGCCTTAGGACAGGGACCGGTTTGCTGCAGAAATGAGTTCCTAACCCTGACCTCAGCTCCCTGAAGCAGTTGCTGGTGAGCTCTGCTGCCCATGGGAGCCCAGACAGGGCCAGAAGGCAGCCAGGCTGGGCTGAGGGACACCCACCCCACTGCAGAAGCACCAAACCTCGCCGAAGTGTGTCAGTACCAGAATGCAGCAATAACACAGTGCACAATGCACGGATCTGGAAGTACTGCTTTCATTTGCTGCCTACTGGTGTCTCTGCTTAGGTCACATTCACAATTTCTGTACATGTGCAAATAATGCCAGCTAACCACAGAGCTGAGCGTCTGATCAGTGCATGTCTGTGCTTGCAGGAATACCCAAGGAGGAAAGAACCCATAAAAAACAGGTTAAGCTTTCCCATCTGCCATATACTACTGGGGGAGCCCCCACCTCCCGCTCCCTGCTCTGCCTCTTAAAGGTGAGAGCCCCAGAATGATATGACTGAGCAGGGGAAGGCTACAAAACCAGAAATGTCTGTGCTGCAGAACAGGAAACAGTTCAGGGAGGGAGAAGCCTGCAGCCTGCTTGACCTGCTGGAAGTATTGGTCGCTGGGATGCAGCAAAGCACATTTAGGAAACATCCCAAATGCCCAAGTGCAGACACCCTACAGTGCCAGGCTGCTGAGAAGTGCCAATTCTGCAGCAGCTTAGGGCCCCTCTGGCACTGGGGGGGGGGGCTCCAGCTGAACCCTCTGGCTCTGACTTGCTGGCAGACCCTGCACAGCCTGGAGCAGTGTCACTGCATCAGCGATGTCACACCAGGCCCCAGTGCTGCATCCAAGACCAGAATCTGGACTTAATTTTTAGGTCTCCTTACAGTCTCTTACCACAGGAGCTGCTCCTTGCTATGCATCCCTGCAATTAGGCAGGAGGGTGCCAGTATCCTACTTCTGGTCTCTGGATACATTTAATTTATTTTCTAAGCCTTTCTTCCCCTGCAGCCAGGGGGAAGCAACAGGCACTGGCTGGCTCCAGGTGATGCTGCAGAGCAGCCCTGACTCCTGGCTCCCACTTTTCTCACTTGCTTCCATCACAGCAATTCCAGTCAGTGTGTGAAGCCCTCCCAGGCAATCCCCAGCAGCGCCCTGCGAGCAGCAGGGCTGAAGAGCCCGACAGCCTCTGTGGGGCAGCGCGGGGCCGGCCTGCCCCCGGCTGCAGCTCAACCACATTCAAGGAAATCCTCTCTCTATTTAGAAACTTGATTCAATCCAATCAGGTTTTACCTTTTCTGCTTGGCTGAGCTCGTCCTTATTCCTGAGCTTATCCCTGTGCTTGGAATCTGGGTCAATGCTTTCATCTTCTAAAAACTGCATGTTCATATTCAAAAGCCAAGCAGCAGTGCGGTCCAGGGCATTGGGGTTCACAGGAGAAGGGGCCTACAATGAAACATACAACCATAACAAAAGAAAAACCTGTAACAGAAAGGTCATGAAGCCAGAGAGAGCAGTTCCTTCCAAGCCCTCTCCCACGCTGCTCCAACAGCAGAGAACAGATTTGAGCTACCAGAGGGGCAGGAATACCTCCTGGTGTGCACCTCCCATGATTTTGCATCAGAAACATTTGACAGCCTTTGACAGGCTGAATTCTTCCCTCTGCCATCCCTATGGAACAGGCAAACAAAGGTGCGTGGCAGCAGAACCCTGCTGAAGTGAACAGGCCCAGGTTACTGCAGCAGCTGTCACCTCTGCAAGCAGAAACTTCACTCAGCTCTTCAGTCTCTGCTTCACTGCACTGTGTTCTTGCTTGCCAGGGAGCCTTTGCACAGATAAAACCACATCTTCAAAAATACGCCTTCTTGAAAAGTAACAGTTTCTTCTTGGGGGAGGCTCTGTACCAATCAGGTCCAACTTCCCCAGCTCTCCCCGGAGCTCACAGGGTCGGTGGGCCCAGGGCGCAGCACTGCTCTTGGCAGGCACTGGGGCTGAAGGCAGGACTGCGAGCTCAGCACCTTCCAGCTGCATTACCAACTTGAGGAAGTGAAGCTGCAGCTATTTCCCCTCCATCCTGGCTCATTATAAACAGCAGTAATTATCCTCTTGGATGAACACAAGGGATCTGGATGACCTGTTCAAGTTAACAAGGCAAAGAGATTGGGAAATTTCTCCTCCATTCAAAGCATCGGTGCTGGAAGCTTTCCTGTGCCATCCTTCAGCTTCGTCTTCATTTCCACAACTTTCACTCAGAAGCTCAGGCACTGCTCATGGAGCACTGAGGGCCGATCAGAGGAGAGCTGCCCACCTCAGTGATGTAAAGGCCCTGGGTCCAGTGCTCTCCACTAACAGAGCCACTGCCCATCGGCCCTTCTGCCTCCTCCTCCTTTCTCTGAAGATGTGGGGAAGTACAGCCTGCTCCTGTCCAGCATGGGTTTGATGGCAGCCCAGGTGAACTGAGGAGCTGGAGGAGGTACTGCTGCAGGGCAGGAGCGAGGAGCTCTTCTGAAGGCAGTCCTCCTCAAGTGGCCACCATGTGGGAGCTCTCGGTTCTTGAGCAGCAGTTTTATGATTCACAGCCAACAGACAGGTGAACAATGTGATTAAGGCTGAGAGGTGCATTTTGGGGACTTCAGCTCTTGAGAGAAGGCAGTGAGGGCAGAGGAAAACTCTGAAACACCAACTAGCTGGCCAAGGTCACCCGGTGTCCCCAGCACTCTTCTGGGAGGAACTGCCCCAGCAGGCAGCTGTGGTAGAGCTGTGCCCTCTGCACCTAGCAAGTATCGATCCACATTACACAAATGCTGCTACATGGCACGCCTGCTAATGTCAGTGCTTATGAATCAATACAGCGTGCACAGAACAGCTCTGGATTGGGCTGAAACCACCTGCAATGAGCAGCACTGCCAACGGCCTCCACTTCTGCTGCTGAAATGGAACCTGTGCTGAGGAGCAGGCAGCTTTGGCCAACTGTTCACCTTCTCCGGGCTGGTATTACTGTTACAACTCTCCCTTTAGGCACTGAGAGGCCCTCCTGTGTTAATTTTTTTTAACAGGGTTATATCTGAAATGTAAAACAAAAAGCAGTTTACCCATGCCAGGAAAGCCAGAAGGGCCCTTGGTCTGCGACCTACTGCTTCAACCTTAGCACCTTGCACAGCCAGAGCTTTGTGCAAAGCAGATGTGCTCCAGGACCTGAGTGCTGCCAGGCTCTGCACAGAAGGGACTTTGCTCTTGATGGGAAAACACCTCTTCCTTCCTGCTCTCGCCTCCCCGTGTGCACTCACAGGAGGGTCTAATGGAGCAAACTGGGATGTCCATGGACACCATGGCTCTGGGGGAACAGGAGCGGGAGTACCGAGCTTTGTAGATACAAGAAGAAATGAGGGCCTGGTCCGAGTCTGTGAGATGGTGCTGGGTTGGCTATGGCATGGGATGAGAGCCTGCGCATGGAGAGGCAAAGCAGTGACAAGGCGGCAGTGCAGGACAGAGGCGGGGCTGCCACCGCCCTCGTGGCCCTGCCACCTCCCGCCCTGCATCCGGCACGCTGCGACGTGCCGCGCGACAAAGGAGCGGAGGATGAGCATCCGGCCTCCGGCTCAGGCCAGGCTGCTGCAGGAACCGCGCTACCATCACCGCGCTGCCACGCAGCCCGCTCCCACTGCAGCAACCCCCCCTGCCCCACTTCTCCTCCAAGCCCGTGGCCTGGCCCCCTCCCACCCCCCACAGCTTCGGCCCCCCGCTCACCTGTTTGTGCATGGTGCGCTGCTTCATCTCGGGGCTGTCGCCCTTGGAGGAGGAGGACTGCTGCCGGAGGCGGGCCCCGCTGCCGGGCCAGTCGGGCGAGGAGGACATCATGCTGCCACTGGACGGCCGCTGGTACTGCACCGCGTTCAGCAGCGAGGGCGGCGTCCTGCCCCGGCTGACGGGCGGCGGCGGCGGCGGCGGCGGTTGGTCTATCCGCCGCTGCGGACCCGCGCTGTTCTGCCGCGGCATGGTGGGCTGCCCGCCCTTCTCTGAAAGCGAGAGCTGCCGCCGGGCCAGTTCCCCCGTCCGGCGGGTGAAGTCCTCGCCGGCGGCGGGGCCGGCGAAGCCGTGTTTGTTGGCCGTCAGCTCCTCGCTGTTGCTGTGGGAGCTGAGCGAGCTGTGGCACTCGGAGCCGGAGTCGCCCAGCCCGCGGGGCGACAGCGGCAGCCCGGCGGCCATCTGGTACACGGGGTTCTGGAAGGAGAGCGGGGCCAGCAGCTGGGGCCGGCCGGGCGCGCTCTCGCCGCTCGGCGTCGTGGGCGTCTGGCCCACGCGGCGCACCGTGGCCATACCCGTCATGCCGCCCTGCTGAGTCCGAGCGGTCCACACGCCCTGCAACTGCCCCAGGGACGACTGACTGTCATTGAGGGAGTCGGCAGCACCGGGCGCGTTGGCCCCGCTGTCCAAGAGCCGATTGTCCTGCAAGTCCACCATGGACAAACTCTTGCTGCCATTTGACATCTGCACGTCGGGCTCATTGGCCTCTGAGTAACTGGAGCTTCGGGCAGGTGAGGGCTGGGCCCCAGCAGACCTTGTGACAAAAAACAAGTCCTTGTTTTCGGGGGTTGGAGATGGTAACCGTGTGAAATCTATCAGACTGCGGGGAAGTCAGTGCGCAAGGAAGAGGAGAGGAAAACAAAACAAAACAAAAGAAGAGTAGTGAATGCCACACAGGAGCAGGAAAACATTATCACTCAGAAGCAATCGGTGTGGCAACGCTGCGCGGGAAGCAGGCACAGCCCGCCCTGCAGGCACAGCGCAGCAGGAGCGGGGATGCGGGCAGCAGAGCGGCCCTGGCACGGAGCTCTGTGCCACACAGAAGGTGTGCTTCTCCATCCACCTCTGCTTCACCATCCACCTCTGCTCAGCGTGCTGACAGCGCACAGCTTCCAGCTGGCCGTGCCCTCAGCACTGCTGCCTGCCCTGTGCCCGGGCACTCAGCTGCCTATGTTGGTACAGCACCCCGCAGGCCAGACCCACACTGCGCATCCGAGGGTCAGACACAGGGCTGTAACTGCAGAGCCAAATCCTAGCAACTGAAAGTTATCCACCCCTCGCTCCTGCTGTAGCAGATAAATTCAGGCAATATTGATTTCTTGCAGACAGGAAGAAAGAGCTTTGCAGTAGCTCAATGTGAATATACCACTGATCAAAGGTGATGCACTGTAAGCAAGTATTTGGGTGATGGCATACTAGTAGAGACCCTCCATAGCATTAAATAATTGTACCTCAAGCTGGGAAGCATTAGAGATGAAAGCTCTGATTACAGCAAGTCCAGCCATTGCTGCCTTTCATTCCTAATTAAACTGTTAAGAATTATGGAGGTTCCACTTACAAACTATTTTATTAGCAGTGTCTTTCAATTTATGTGGGCTCTATTTCATTTTCCACAAACAGAAACATTTTTAGTCTGCAACACAGTCATCTTTCCCATGAATGATTTTTCTTACATAATTAGGCCCAAAAATGTGTTTGGTGACTGTGTCTGTGAATCACTGCTCGTTAAGAACACCCATTTATTATACAAGCAGGATGGAGTAGACTGGAACTGATTGTTAGGCCTCTACAGCTCACCCACTGGTAGTGGAATGCCCCGATTTGGACCACACTGAATTCAGCACATACCTTATGTCTTACAAAGATGGCTAAAACCAATAAATCCTGCATATGCAGACATCTTATGAACCCAAATGGTAAAACTCACTGTTTTGAGGTTAGTAGCCTCAATGCCCTCGAAGGATGGACGTGTTACTTCTGCAGCTGAGTGTCAAGAGTGGAGCCCAGAACCAAGTGTTTGATTTCCCATACCACACCCTCAGTTCTGGCTCAGGATGGACCTAGGATGGACCTGCTGACTTGCACTATTGCCCACTGCTACGCCTAGATTCAGAGCTGAACTACACCCAGTATCAGTTTTGTAACTGGAAAGCTTTGCCAATGAATCAGGAAGATCCACACTACACCCTGTCCTGCCTGATCCTGCAAGCACTCAGGTTCTGCTAACAGGTGAACGTTCAATATTTCCCTGGTCTGTGGCCAGGCCACCTCTTTTGCTCTTACCCAGATAAGTCATTCTCTATCACCATTTTCTGCAGCCCCGCAGAGATGCTGTTCCCAGCACTGGGAGTGGATGCAGTGTGATCAGCTGTGACTGAGACCTGCACGCAGGCCGGGTTGCTGAGCGCCGAGTTGACGTCCCTCAGGATCCGCGGCAGAGGGCCAAGTTTTGTTGCAGTGCTCTGGAGAGAAAAGAGCAGAGTTACTACCAACATCATGGGTTTTGCAAGAACTTTGGGTTCTGCCAATTGCTGGGCAGTCTCCTTCAGTGAACTAAGTTAGCAAAATTCTTTTTCTCCAACATTTAACCCCAGTGCCAAGGCTACAGCCTATCCCAGAACACACAGCTTCAGAAGTCATTTGCAGCTGTGGGGCAGAAGGAAGCCAGCACACTTCACATGGTTCATTCCAAGCCTGGTTCAGGTCACTGGACAGAAATCCTTTTAATTTAAAAGGAATCTGCTGGGACAAACAAGGCAGCCTGGTGTTCAGCAGCTCTGCCTTCACATCTCACCATCCTCACCCCTCCATGATGAAAAGCAAAAGCAGAAGGCAGTACTCGCCAGCCTCAAAGAAAGCCACAAAGGATGATCTCCTTCAGCAGCACGTGCAAAGGTGGAACAAGAGCAAGAGCCAGTAGGAGCTGTGCTGTGCTCCCACACCCTAATGGGTTGGTAGTGGCTGGACAAAGGGGAGGTGTATGCTGCAGAGCAGCCCGTGTGCCCAGCACTGGCCAAAGTCTGTCCCTGCAGCCCCCCTACCTGCTCCAGCTGAGAAATGACTTCCCAGAGCAGCGAGTGCAAAGTGGACAGTTCCCGGCCCAGGTCAATGTAGCCTTCAAAGCCAGCTGTGTTTGAGATGGTTTCTGGATTGGAAATCTCTAGTAGGAATCTCTGCATGTTGGTCCACTCATGTTCCAGAAACTGATTCATAAAAGACATATATTCCTCTTTGCTGCCAAACCTGTCAAGACAGCAACACAAGCCTCAGCTAAATCCCGTAAATAGAGGTGCAGTGAGCAGAATGAGCAGGTACATATGCAGGTAAGAAGACCAGTGTCTTCCTCTGGCATCTGAATGCTTGCAAAGCCTTTGGGATTACCAGGCTATTAACAAGCAGCTGGTATCGAGCAAGGAACCCAAATTAATTCCAGCCTAACCCAGCTAACCCCTCATCAGTGCAGGATCTCAGCAGCAGAAATGAAGGTGAAAGCCATAGAAACAAGAAGAAATTGTAACCCAAGCCCAATCAACTGACTGGAGTGCAGTGAGTGATGGCTGCAGGAGTCCCATGCTCTCCCCCAGCAATTCTGCAAGGAGAGGCTTGGTCACGTCCAGTCTGCAGGACAGCTTGATCACTTTGGTTTGATTAATGTCAGCTTAGTGAAAGAGTCTTTCCTGCAAAATGCTGAAAATCTGAAAACCCTTTAGGTTAGGGATTGGTCAGGAATATGGAGAATTTCTGTCATCCAGTGTAACACACTCTCATGTCTTCCTCCTGTGTGTGCACGCATGTGCACTCCTGGCTGCGACTGTGTATGCTAAGCTAGCTTCTAAATCTAAGAAGCTTTAGACAGAGACTGTCCATTCATGTTTCAGAAAGCTCATCATTTTGTTATCAGAGCTCAGGATAAGTAGCTCAGAGCTGCAGCCAGAGGAAAGATGTTCAGAAATCTCTTGCTTTGTTTCCATCAAACCTATGGGCTTATTTAGAAACTGGCAGTGTCCCCATTAGCTTCTCTTGCCATCCCAGTTCAAACAATCGCACTGTAAGAGCTCCTTGGAGGGACTGAGCTACGCACACTGTTTGGGTGCTGGTCCTGCTGGTGCCTGTGGTGAGAGGCAAAGCAGATGCCATCAGCTTCCCCCAACACAGCCATCATGGGACAGATTTCCTGGCTGTGCCTGGGTGTTCTGCTCTGTGGTCACAGTAGTCTGCTTTCCTACTCATAAAACACATGGCTGTTTTGGAAACTTAAATGATCTCCCTGACATAAAAGTGAGAGTCCCAGAGAGACAGGGAAGAAAAAAACCAACCAAACAGGCCCTTTGCGTTTGGGAAAGGAGGAGCCAGCGTGGAATGCCTGCTGCAGAAGCTCTGCTTGCAGCCTGGGGCTTCCTCCCCCTCCTCAGAACTCCTGCTTACTTGGCAAAGTTGGCCAGGTTCTGGGTGACCTTGGCAATGAGGGTCAAAGTGCGTGCAGTGCGGTCGTCCGGGTACTCCTGCAGGAGACTGAAGAGGGAAGGGGACATGATAGCTGGGCAGAGGAAGCGGAGGAACAGGGAGGCACTGATCAGTCGCTCGCTGATGTCTGGGCGGCCACGGTTGCTGCACTCCTGTCTCCACGAGGCAAAAACTTCTTTGAGTTCCCTTGGGAAGACACTGAAATGACAGGAAAACACACAGGGATGAGAAGTTCAAGGCCAGGGTGTTTGAACTGCTGCACAGTAATAAATAAACATGCTGTGCACCAGCCATTGGGTATGACAGCCAGACCCTTACACCCTGCTGACCCACAGCAACACCTCTACCTACACCAGTCACAGGCTTCTGTATTTTCTTTTTTCCCCTCATTTTTTTTTCTGCCCAGCGCATCCATTAGGATATTCAAACCACGCAGGAAAAAGCCAAGGCAAAACCTCCAACAACTGGGAAGAGAGATGGGAAATCAAGCAGCCCATCATCACAAGTTATGTAGTGTGTACCACCCTGAAGAGAGGGGGCACTGCCCGTGAGCTGTGGGACACTGGGGGTGTGCCAAGGTTACCGGTGCAGCAGGTGCTTGGAGGGAGGGCTGTGCAAACTGCACTGCTCCTGTTTAAGTTCTTGGAGCAGATCCCATGGAGGCAAGGGCAAAGCAGACCCACGCTGGAGTTAGTCCAGCCTTGCAACTGCATCGGCCTCAGCCAGGCTTCCCAAGACACCAAACTCCCCCAGGCCAGCAGCCCTTATCGCTGCGATAAGGAGCCGCCCGCCCGCTCTCCTCCCAGCTCCCTGCTCCCACCTTATCCTGTTCCCAGCACAGGCTGTTTATGCAGCTGGATACTCCCACGCAGGAGCAGGCTGACAACGGGTCCCCAGTGGCCCCCAGGATCCCCGTATCAACCCTTTCCCTGGCCCCAGTGCTGCCCTGGCCACAACCACCGTCTCTGTTCGAAACCAGAGCCATACACCTACATGGCTGTATGTAGAGCTGGATGGCATAAAAGCGGACCGAAGGAGGTCAGACTCCATTTTAGGTCACGCGTTTTCTTAACAAACAGCCATTTCAGAGGATGTTTTCCCAGTTCTGCTGCAGGGACTACGTGGGATGAGCGAAGCAATCTGAGCTGGCTCCCAGCAGCCACGTGCCCCACTCTGGGACTGACTGCCCTGCTCCTGACCCCCACATTTGTTGGAAAGAGAAATCCACGTGTGCCGTGCTGCCAGAGATGCTGTCCTGCTCCCCTGGTGCAGAAGCCTGCCCAGCCATACTTGCTGTGCACACGGGGTGCACACCCTCATGCTTGAAGTTTTCTCCATCCTGACATGAGCACAATGCTCAGCAAACGCTGCCACTGCGTTTGGCTTCTGCTCCATACTGGATTCATGCTTTCTCCCTCGTGAGCTTTTGCCCTGTGCTTTATAAGTAACACTAGCCAACGTCTTTGGCTGAAAAAGTTCTCTCCCTGGCTTGATTCGCACAATTGGACAAAGCCCTTTTACTTCATGGTATTTGCCCAGAAATAGGAGAATCCTTTAAGCAATTTAAGGCTTGAGTGATCAGGACAGGTTGTACAGTTACTGAAAAGTAAGCCCTTGGAAACGCATGCACCAGCAGCATGCAGCCCTAAGTACTGCTCACTGTCACGGGCTGCGAGATCATAAAAGTTTAATTGTGTAATGGCGTATGGAATTCAGTTAGCTGGCTTTATGTGACAAACGGGCCCGTAATTCATTACCCAAGTTTCCAGTAACGAGCTTCCACATGCTGAAATTCTGCTTACGCCGAAACTTTCCAGATGTCCAAATTATGTCATAATTATAACAATTTTCGGTTATTGTAAACCTCCTCTCTCTCTCTGACTCTCTGGCAGATGAGCACACACACTCCTGGCACTCTATTTAAAGCAGGACCGTTAGCTGTCAAGATCCCTTGGCCAATTCTGAATTCTCGATATCAGCCCAATTAATCCCCAAGAACTGCTGAGCACAAAGGAGCAGGAGGGGATCGCCCAGAGCTGCAGCTCAGCTGCTCCAGCCCTCCTCAGAGCAGTGGGACTGGAGGAACCAACCTTCCACACATTCCCAGCTTTCCCTACATCACTTTTCAGACCTATTTTTAGGCCAACCTTTTAGTGCTGCTTTGGGTATTTTTAGGAAGGCATTAATTTGAACAATTATTATCCGCCGGTGACTAAAAGCAGTGAACTCCTCTTGGGAGAGCAGGTAAGCACAATTCGTGAGTCAGAGTCATTAACTGGCTCAGTTAAGGTATGGACTACCTGCACAGAACTGTGCCCTTCTGCCTATTTGTGGTGGGTACAGGAAGTGTGAACAAGCCTCTTGCTGCTCATTCTCTCCCTGAACAACATCAGGAAAAGCAATTCCCTTCCTTCTGGGCTTGAAGACAGCACACTCTGTATCCAGGGGGAATACGTACGTTTTCAGACCTTAACACAACAGTTGGGATAAGGAAGAAAATGAGGAGTTCTGCCCACCAAAGACTTCCTTCCTCCAAGACAATCCTTGGTTGATGTTTGGCAACAACAGCATTGCTACAAAATACATCAATAACAAGTAATCCCAGATTTCTAACCAGGAAGACTGCAAATGCTGCAGTAGGATAAAAATGTTTGTTCTATGCAGCCAGGACAAAAACCTCTGGCTAACAAGACGTACAAAGAAACTATTTTTGTTCCTCTACGTAAAGAGGGTCACCAGCACATTTCTCCCCCTGCCACGCACCATCTGCAGCAGACTCATGGGCTGCTGGCCCCCGCAGCTTCCAGCTCTGAGGGGCACCACCAGACACCGCAGCACACCACTGCCTCACTGCAGTCATGTTTACATATTCAGGCCAGCTGTCCCGAGGGCCAGGACATGGAAGGGTTAACCCTGAGGAATGCAGGATGCTAAGCCAAACAGCAACAGAGCACTAACAGCAGTGTCCTTGCTCCAGCACTCTGCAGCAGGAGAATGTCTGCCTCCACAAAAGCTCTCAGTGCTGCTGAAGCTTCAGTGGCTGCTCTGGGGAATCAGGCAGTCCATACTGACCCACCTGGCACATACAGGTTTGTGACATGGCTGGGAGACTCAGGACATGCATTCCTGCTATTTATTGCAGGCTTTCATACACGGCTGGTATCAAGTCCCTCTCTGAAATGGTCACACTGGCAAAGGCAGTTCTTACTCCTTGGCTCTACCACCCTGTCCTGTGTCTGTGCTGCAGTGACCCTTCACCACCCGCTGAAATGCGATGGGCACTCAGCCCTGAAGGCAGTGTGGAACTGCATCCCCACACTAAACCAGCTCAGCAGAAAATCTGTCCTTGAAAGCGTGTTCTTCTGTGCACAGCAGCCCTTCCATTCCCATGCCAGGCACACAGGAGCTCAACAAGGCACTGCACATCTTTGCAGGTGCACCTGCCACCACCTGTGCCATCCCTGCTCAGCCCAATCCCCTGGGCAGCCTCACACAGAAGCCCCCCGGGTACCGTTTGGGTTGGCAAGGCCGTGCCAGACAGACATGGCCTGAGCCCAACACCACACTCCTCCTCTATGGCAGTTCGTGGAGGGCAGTGATGCCTGCAGGGTACTGACCAGTAGGAGTTGATGATTTTGCAGAAGGCCAGCTCACAGCACATCTTCAGGTTGCTCTGATGTTCAGGAAGGTCTGAGGATGAACACTTACTGGGATCCACCTCGCAGTTTTCATCCGATTCATAGAGAGCCTTGATAAATTCCCCTGTAAAATAGACAGTGATGGGTTTTGGAGATGCAGCCTTCAAGCAAGCCCCAGTGCTGTCACGCAGGCTGTGGACCCTGGAGAAGAGAGCCATTCCCTGCCCCCAGCTGACAGTGCTGCCCTGCTTACTCCAGGTGCTGCCCTGGAGCCGCTCTGCCAGAAGGTGTCTTTCCCCTGCCTGCCCCCCCCCCAGCCACCCCATTGCAGCCACACTCCCCAGGGCTATCTCCAGGAAGCATGTGGCAGGTTCTGTCATCATCTGTATGATGTCCTGCTGCCGTGGGCTGTGCCTGCTACAGTCCCCTGGCGCTGACAAGCCAGTGTGATTCACAGAAGAAATGGATAATTAAAGGAAAGAAACAATTTACTTGGTTTATTTTGAGCTGAACATCACACCAAATCGAATTACAGCATTTCTGTGAGCTTCCTTGCATTCCTGCCTGCCCGCTCCTCACCAGAGGTGCCCCAGGCTCAAAGCAGGCTGTGGGCACTCCCAGTGCTGCAGGTCCAACTTTGTGTCCCAGGCCCCATGGCAGGGGGTGGCACAGTGGGGCTGCAGCAGGACCCAGAGGCAGTGCCAGCCCCTGCAGCCAGGGGATCCTGGGCTTCACGTGGCACTACAGGACTGGCTGTGCTCAGTGCTTTGGTTCCCCTCTCACTCCTGTTGGTCATCTCCCAATTCTTGACCTGTCTGCAATTTTCCCATCTTCGTGCTTTCTGCTCCCTCTCATCTGCACTCTTCCCTTTCCTCTGCCCAAGCAGATATTAATTACGTACCAGAGGGGCGCTCCGGTGTGTTTTCAGCTCTGCTGGGAGCTGCAGAGCCTCTCCGCCCGCCTGCCAGCAATGCCTGCTGTTGTGATCCGGCCCTATTACCAGCTTGTGCCTCGTGGTTTGAAGGAAAGCACCACGCTGCACTGAGCTCCCTCTGACATACAGATTAATCATTTCCCTGATAAAAGGTCCGTGCAGAACCCATGCCTGAGCACCATGCAGAAACTGCAGGCTGCTCCTGCACCAGGCAGCAGCATCAGTCCTGACAGAGGACCATTACAAAATTTGCTGCCTTGATTAATCACCTGGCTTTTTAAAAATTTTTTGAGGTAAACTACTTACAGACTTCAACCAGAAGGCATTACAAGACAGGAATAACCAACATTCCTTCTCCTCTTCTGGTGGGCTACCTGCTGGTCTGTCTGCATTTGCTCCCCTTCCTCAACTTCATCAGTATTATTATTATCTTAATGAAGTATTTATGCTTTTCTGGTCCTTGCTAGAAGTACACAACTCTACCAGCAGGAAGCTAACATACTGAAAACCTCAGCTCTGCAGAAATGCTGCAAGGATGTGCCCCAAACCCCACTGCCTTCGCTCACAGCAGAGCAGCCCCCAGCCCACGCTGTGCCGCCCGCACGCAGCAGCGCTGCTCTTCCTTCCTGACCTGCCCAACAGCGGAACCTCTAATTATTTTCATTTGCATCAGGAGAAATATTTTTGGAGCCACTAGCATAGCCAGCCCTTTCAAAAACCACCAGGAGGGTTCCCGGTGCTGAGGGAGGCAGCTCTCATCACTGTAATTTGGGAGATTTCATCTGACTCACAAGCGCTGCGATAACCGGGGGGAGCATCTCCGGCCGGGGGTGTGCAATCAGGGAAGGATTCAGTCAGCCCTGTGACACAGCCATGCTGACACAGAAGGCTTGGCAGGCCGTGCCTGCAAATACCATTTTGCTGTCTCCTGTGGAAGCAGATGAAGCGCCGGCTGAGCGCTCACCTTCTCCTGGGGCTGTGCTGCCCTGCTGTGGGCTGCACCTCAGGCCGGCAGCGTGCGGCCTTCAGGCTTCTCCAGAAGTGCTGGAGAACACCTGCTGGGGGAACACCACCGCCTCGGAGGGCCGGCAGGGCTCAGCCTGCACTCAGCACTGTGCAGAGCAGCCGACCCTCAGTACGTACCTAAGGCATCCTGCAAGTATTTCTGTCCCACCAGCTTCAGGTATTCCTCGATTGCTTTGGTGGCCAATGTGTTCTCCCTGAAAATGAGATGCTCATTCTCACCACAGCGATCAACTTCAGACATCATCAGGTCAGTCAAGAAATCCTGGAAAGCAAAGCCCATGGTGGGTCACCAGGTACCAGCACACCCCGTGCAGCTCTCCCAGCACAAAGGGAGCGGAGCTGTGTCCCCATGCACACGGTGCTGCTCCTGCTCCTCCCAGAGACCAGAGCACAAATCAGTCTCTGCGCAGTGACAGCATCTGCACCCCCAACACAATTCATTCCAGACCTGCACCACATTTACCCCTCCATCAGTTTCAGCTTTCCGATGGGTCCCATCCTGGCCTTGTGTTTTGTGGATGAAGTATTTTTCCCACTGTTCAACACAGCTGTGTTCGTACCAAACTGCAGTGGCTGCTAACTGGGGGCATAACTTGGGTGTCGTGAGCTGTGCCCCACAGTTAATGGCCGAGAATCAGGCCTGCAACATGCACCAGGGTTACCCAACGTCCTATTTCCCAGTACCCATGGAAATAAACAGCACTGTTACAGCACGCATTGCGGGCGCTTTGCTGGGCTGATTTGCACAGAACCGAATACCACACAATTTCATAATCCTCTGTGCTGCACAGCGATGGAAGGGGTGAGCAAAGCAGTGTGCACACTGACAGCTGCCCTGTGCAGTTCAGGAGCTCAGAGCCATGCAAACACCAATAGAAAGCCAGCATCTGAGCCCGAGCTCTACGTCTCCCTCAGCAACAGCATTAGTGATCAGAGAGAGTCACGTAACTCCCAGTGCATTCTCCTGAAAATCCACTATGTGGTGCAATGTTTAGCGTGCTGTAGCTAGCATTAATGCAGGAGAAATGCCATGCAGGTTTTAATGCTAACACACATTCAGCTCCCATTCTTTGCACTGCTCATGGGAAAATCCTCCCGCCGATGCCGCTCACCTGGATGGCACAGCGGGCCGGGCTGCCAGCACCCCTCACACTGCATGGAAACCAAGTCCCGTGCAGGAGGCAGGAATGCTGACCTACAACTTCACTTGCACCTCTTCCAAACCACGCTCCTCTAACACAAAACAACTTGCTCAGGAATAACCTTTCAATGAGAAGTTCTCCTTCACGCAGCAGGAGCACACAGGATGCACAAAGCCCGTTTCTGGGCATGGGCAGCAGGCACTCCTGGAGGTGCTGTGCGGAGCTGCAGGTCCTGCACACTGCAAGTCTAACCAGGTTCAGAAAGCAGCTCCACCCCAACACACGGCGGCACGTTCTGCTCACCTTCCAACCTCTGCTGATCCCCAGGTGTGAGCTGGAATCCTCAGGCTCGTGCTGGGATGCACTGCTGGCCCATTCCAAGGCCAAACCGCAGCACCTACACAGCCCTTCATTACTGCGCTGCTGCCCCAGATGGAGGCAAACCCAGGCTGCAGGCAGAGGCACGAATCCCTCCACAATTTTCTGTCATTTTGCCCCTTTTATCAGCCAAGCCCGAATGAAACTTTAAACTCCTGCTCAAATCCCTCTAGCCGTTATCTGGGTACCTCCATCACCTTTATCTCCCTGGTTCTCTCCCAGGATGCGTTTCAATTCCAAGCCACAGCTCCAGCTGACACAAGGTGCTGATTCTTAATTAGCAGCCGCTGACCTTGGCTTTGGTTGATTCTCTTTCCTGTCACTTTCCCAACATACTAATTATCTCAGGAACACTGAGTTTTACTGCTCCTCCTCGACCAGGTTTGCTTTCTCCTCCTCCAGTCAGCTGAGGACCCGCGCTGCCTCCCCCCGCGTGCAGGGCTGCAGAGCTGTGGCCGGACGTGGGGACGCAGTGCCAGCTCCCACACAGAACCCAGCTGCCTGCCAGGGCTGCTGAGCTGCAGAGACCCGGGCAGCAGGTTCTAGCCAGCAGTATGGGAATTTTGGTCATTTCAGCTAATAGGCAGAATTCACTAGAATTAAAAATGAGTCATAAATGACTCGACCAGGAAAGATCCCTTCAAAACGTCTGTGGCAGTCACTGTCCCATACGGAGCACCAGCAGCAGCTCAGCAGGTGAGAGAACAGCCCAGGAAAGCTGTGGGCAGCCCAAGGAGCCCCGTTACAGCACAGCAGCGCGGTGTGTCAGGACAGCCCTGCCACCATCAGCAGACAGGCCGTGCCACAAGGCAGGGCTTCTCAGCAGCCCGGCAGCTCCCTGGTGACACGGAGCCCAGCCAGCCCCGAGCCATGCTGCAGAGCCAGGCACTACAGGAAGGAGCGCTGCTCGGGGCTCAGCCCTCCGCACCAAGGTGCCACATCAGCTCCAGATCACACATCTGCCATCTCTGCCTCAAGAACGCCAGCAGCCAACACTCGGAAGACACAAACGGAATGCAAATACTTGCTGGATCCCTCTGGGGGCTCCGCTCACCCACATACAAGGCTCCAAATAAAATGCAATAACTAAAGCCAATAAAACTCCCTGTTTGTGAGCAGCAGAGATCGGAGGGGGTTGTTTTTAGTTAGAGCCCCTGGCAACGGAAGAAAATAAGATGCTTTATTTCATTACATCAGAGTCGAGAGGGTAAGGGAAAGGCCTACAGTAAAAATGAAGGGCTGTGGCAGTGCTCTTCAGGCTCGCTCCTGCAATTATTACGAGGATATTTCTCCCAGACTGGACACTGCTGAACCTGTGCAACCTCATTCACCACATATACGCTGATAAGGAGGAACAACTCATAAATAAACAAATTCAGAGCATGACAGAGCAAGACAGCACTGGTTTCCAGCACTCCTCCACGTAGGAGCTACTGCAGCATGAGCTGCTGCAAGGCTGCTCCTGCACGGCCCCAGCAGCCCCGCACTGCCCAGACACAGCTGAAGGTGAGCCTGGGGCAGGAAAGCAGCACATGGGAACAGGGGCTGCTCCAGAGGGGGCCTTGAAGTAGAAAGGCTCTTTGCAAAGTGAAATCCACTGAGTGTGAAATTGACACCTGCTCAAGAAAACAATCCTACACTGTGGTGCCAATAGGGCCAAGCAATTGGGCTAATTGCATCACTCAAGCACACAAAAACCAGGAGAAGCAGCTCCTTCACAAGAAAGAGCTGCAGAAGGCAGCCAGCTCTGTCACCACCCAGTCCAGGCCCTGCCTGCAACCCCACACCTGCCCGGGTCCAACAGCACCTGAGGGGCAGCGTCAGGAACCCTGCAGAGGGGCTCAGGGTGCCAGGAAAGGTCCTGCAGCCCTGCAAGGACAGACATGGGAGAGCAGAGAGGGGCTGTCAGTGCTGGGGGAGCTGCCCTGTTGGTCAGCACCCAATGGGTGGATTGGTCGTGAGGTCTGGGGGTTCTCCACATTGCGAGGTCATTAATAGGATTGCCTTCACCTTAAGAGGATTGAATTGATAAAGGTAATGAGATTAGTGCTCACTTCAGAAAGCAGCCCAGAGTCCAGCAGGGCTTTTATGCAGCTGTGAAAAAGGAAACCCTGAGAGGAGGTCAGACAGGAGGCCTGGAGCTGCACATCACAGCCTGGCCTCAACCCTTCGCCAGCACGTGGTCTGCAAGGGTCCATTCTGCAGAACACCAGAGATGCTCCTTCTGCTCAGCACAGGAGCTCATGCTCCAGCACTTCTGCCATTACTCATTTTCCTTGGGAAATGGAGGGGAAGCGGCACCACAAGGGTTGACACACAGTTCTCACAATAAGGAAACCCAACTGCAGGACGCGCCATCAGCGTGCAGAGCAGAGCCAGCACCACCTCCCTCACCTGCAGCAGCACAGCCCTGCTGCACAGCACAGCCCTGCTCCCACACTGCACTCCCAGCCTCCTGACCTGCCTGCCTGCTGTGCCTGGGGGGAGGGCAAAGGGGACCGGGCGTGAGCCTAACACTGAATAAAAGCTTTATCAGCTTGGCTATGGCTGCTATCTAAAGCATTAGGGGGAAACTCCTTGCAAGGGAACGATGCCAGTGTCACCTACAGCTGCAGGTGTGCAGCAGCCCGGCTGCCCAGGCTGGACACACAAGCACTGCAACCCAGCAGGCAGCCCCACACGCAGGCTGGGCAGGAGGCAGGGAGGCTGCAGCAGCCTCACGTGGGGGAGCGAATGCATCTGCTTATGGGAAGCAAATCCTTGCGGCATAAACAAATAGGGACACATGTTTATTCTTCACTCCATTCACACCATAATAAATATTTATTTCAAGTGAGCAGCTGGTTAGTTAGAGCTTTGTCTGATGCTGGATTTCATCTACCAACCATTTGGACAGGGAAGTTTTTTTATATATTTATGATTATTAACTGAGCTGCAAAAGCTGTGAGAGAGCCCTGAAACAGACCTAAGTGAGGGAAGCGTTCTGCAGGTGCTGAGAGCCCCAGCCCTTCTCCCTCTGGGAAGGATGCAGCCTGCCTCTCTGTAACCACATCACACAGCCCACATCAGCCCGAGCTAATGGCAGGGCTCAGCACACCCAGCATTTTTAATTACCACTTTGTGTGTTTTGTCTGTGGGTTGAAAAACACATCAAAATAGTCAGGCATCTCGCCACACCCTTATAGGTAACACTGGTGCCTGTGATGATGGGAAGATGGCAGTATCCAACACATGGAGGATGCTTGGCAGTGCCCCCCTGGGCCGGGCAGCCCTCAGCCAGCCTGCCTGCACTGCCACCTATCAGAATGTTCTTCCCTTCTCCCCACCTTGGCAGCTGCTCCAGGCTTTCCAGCCGTACCCTGATGCACTCCGAGCCCTCACGCAGCTCTGCGGGGGTGAAGCTTTTCCCTTTCCCAAGCAGAGATCAAAGGAAGCACGGCCTCTGACTCCGGGGAGGACTCTCTGCTTTCATTTCCCATCTTTTAATCTACTGTGATAAAGAAAGGAAGCTCAGGCTGATGCAGTTATTTAAGGGAGAAGATGCAGTTGCAGCCCTTGCTCCCCTGCTGCACACCGTGCCTGCCTACAGCTCTGACCAGCCCCAGTAAAGCTCCTGGCTGCAGCACAGCAGGCACTGACAGGAGCTGGGGGCTGTGTAGGGCTGCTCTGTCTGCAGGGCTGCTGGGGCAGCAGGCACAGCCATGCACAGCCACTCTGCCAGCCCTGGGGGACCACTGTGCCTCTGCAAGGGGCTGCACAGCCATGCACGGCCACTCTGCCAGCCCTGGGGGACCACTGTGCCTCTGCAAGGGGCTGCACTGCCCCTACAGTGAGCAGCTACAGGAAAAACAGCACCTGAACACTGCAATCAGCTGCTAACACATCTCCATAGATAACCTGCCGGACACTTGTTTCTCACTCCAGCTGTAATTGCTGCTTTAGCATCACCTACAGCAGCCAAGAACCACAGAAAGCCGTTTATCAGTGAAATAAATTAGCAACTGCCCATCACCACGTCTGTGCTCTTCAGCTCAGAGAGGTCTCTTCCCCATGGCCTGCAGAGCCCAACACAGGCACAGCGCAAACCCAGGCAAGGCTGAAGCCTGCTGTGGGACAGGAGCACGATACCAGCACAGCCCACCTGCTCAGGACGGGGCTCCATGCTGGGCACGTGGCCGTGTCACACAGACAGGCTGGGTGGCTGCTCTCCTCTCCCATTCATCTATTTTTTTTTTCCCCCTTGTTGCCAGCTTTTCCTTTTCTCTGCTTGTCCAACTCCTCCACGAAGGAGGCATCACCCGGTTCCCATGCTCCAGTAACTCCTGTTGCTTTGACAGCTCTCTCAACCCTGCGCTAATGCTGATGGCAGATGACAGGCAGAGAAAGCAGCAGCTCCATTTTAGGGGGCAATACATCACGTCTGTTTACTGTTTGCTGCGTCCCCCGTGCAGAGCCTCTGGGATCTCGAGCACTGGCACAGACACGAGCCTGAAACATCCCTGCTCTCTCCTGAGCCTCTCCAGCACAGGAGAGAGGAAGAAAAAGCACAGCAGTGACAACAGCTCTCAGATACACATGCACACAGCTCACAGTGCCCGAGATTGGGGTGACACTTGATGCCTTCTGCACCAGAGTTGTGCCAGCCACGCTCAGAGTCCTTCCTGGTGATTTTATCTCAGCCAGAGCTATGGCATCAGTGCCACCAGAGCTGCAGTGAAGGGCAGCCTGGCAAGCAGCGCCAGCAGAAGGCAGGGCCAGGCCCACAAAGCACAGCAAAGCCCTGCCAAAGGAGCAAGGGAGGGGACACCTGGGGTGCTCTCCTGGCATTACAAGAAGAGGATCACACATGCCCCGAGCTGCTCCTGTCCCCATGGAGTGGGGCTGCACCCCTCACTGCGTGCCCTGCAACCCCATTCCAGGGTCAGGCAGGCTTAGGGCTGCTATTTTCATTCCCTGTGCAGCAGCAGGACCTCACAATCCTCTCAGAGAGCTTCTGCCTTCAACTTATCCAGGAGGCCAAGCCACTTCTCTGTACAACAGATGGTAATTAAATCTAATCCGTGAACCCTGCCATGATCCCAGGCAACAGCAGAGCCTGCAGAAGAAGACTGAGCCTCACAGTTCCCCTCAGGTGAGCAGCTTGCATTTCCTCTGCTCTGCTAAAGCTCTGGAAATCTTGCTCTTCCTGGAGACCTGCTGCAGAGCTCAGTGAGACGCTAACAAAGAAAACTGCTGATGCTCTGACTTGGCTGTGCTGGCTTGTGGACACGCAGCAAGGACACTCCATGGCAACTCCATGTCCTGTGGAACTCAGGGCTCAGCAGTGCCCTCCAGTAAGGGGGTTTCCAGCTCTGCTCCTCTGCCTTCACTCCCAGGACCACCACTGGCAGTAAATCCTGCTCCCTCTTCTTCCTGACTTGCTTCTTCCCCAGACCCACGATTCCCAGCCATGAAGGACAGTCACACACTGCATTTCCACCACTCACAAGCTGGCCAGCATCAGCTCCCCAGTGAATCCTGCCCCAGCAGTGCCCCAGATTGCCCAGCCCTCCCTCACTGCTGCCTCATCACATCTCTTCTGAAAGCAACAGGACAGACCCCAAGGACCTGAGAGACGTGAGTGCCTGGAGGTGCACTTTGCTTTGAAATTCTCATGGCACCCCCTCGTATGCTCTCACATTCGGTGGTGCAGCGCCGCACAGCAGGGAAATCTGGGATCCCACAGGAACACCCAGCCCATGCCGGCAGCGTAGCTTAAGCCAACATTGCTCACACTTTATCCCTGAGAAGTGCCTTCTTCCTTTCTGTTACGTTTGTGCCTATTCATAGAATAAGAGTCTGGTCCCTAAGCCTCCAGAAGCAGAGAAAAATGACTTAGGTTGGTATCTTGGGGTCCTACTGATCTCCTTACTAATTAAGCGATTAGCAATGCACATGCTACCAACTTGCTCGCAAGAAAAAGCAAAATTACACTGTATTAGTGATGGCTGAGACCAACTGAAGCGGTGACTTCCAACAACCCAACCCAAGTGACTGCTCCTGTCCTCTCCCCTGGCAGCCAGTGGGTGCCAAAGGCTCTTACCTTGGCCTTGCCTGTGCTCTGCAGGATGTGCACCAGCGCAGATGCCATCTCCTCTTTGTTCTTCACACTCAGCGAGGGCTCCAGCACTGAGCACAGCACCATGTAGTTGTTAGTGATGTACTCGGCGAACTCTTTGTACATCTCCATGGGAAGAATGCTCATGCTCTGGTAGCGTGACTTGATGCGGATCATGGGCCCTGGGGATTTGCCCTTCCCAGGGTTGGGGCTGACCACAGGGTACCACTTCTCCACAAACTGCCGTCCCGTGACAGAGCTGACAGGGATGTTCACTTGTCCAATGAAATTGGTCTTGTCCTTCTTTTTCTTCTTGTCAGTCTCTTTGTATAAGTGCACCGTAATGTTTTTGAGCGATGGGAGGTTATTAAATTCAAAGTGCTCCCCCCAGAAGACATTATCAGTTTTCAATTTACAGGTAGTTCGTGCATAAAGAACGTCATCCAGGCATAATTCACACAAGTACTTCTTCTTAGCTGGCAGGTCCTTGGCTTCGATAATCCATAACTTTAACATATTCTCTACCCTTCTGCTGTTGTCCTAGAAAAAAAGATGCAACGAAAAAAGGTCAAGACGAAAAACAAAGCCATGCACAACAAAACTGGAGATAGGTGTTAATTATTTCAGATGTGCTAAATGAGCAGAGGCTTAATTACATTTTATTTTAAGGAAATACTGGCTCTCAGGAATTTGCATAATAATGCTACTTATGTTAATTTTCCAAATATCACCGTGCTCTCCACATCTGCTGGTGCCAATTAATATAAGCAACAAGGAAGATAAAACCCCTCTGCATCACAAACGGGCCAAACCCAATTCACTGCCAAAAGGACCTCAAAACAAACCTGAACAACCCAACCGATGACTAATGGCCTTTGCAAAGCAACTCCTACGTCACAGGTATCACACTATCACCTTCCTGATCTGTACAACCACTTTGCAGCAGCACTGCAATACATTTTTGTTTGGTTGGTTGGTTTTTTTGAGTGTACCAGAGCAACAACAAAGGGACCCCAATGCACACCTAGGGATCGCCCCATCCATGGCTGGAAACAGCTGCCTCTGACATGGAAGAAGCATTTACAAAACCTCAATATTTTAGGGCAGAAGTCCAGAGCATCCAGCTAAGAGATGGAGAGGAATTACGGGAGACAGAGTGAGTCATGCAGCACAATCATTACAATTCAGAAATAGAAATTTGGCCTGGAATCATTTAGATAGCATGTAACAAAGGACACTGTAGATCTTACACAGCTCTTGGCAATGCTGACCTCATGCTGGAAGAACATCCAGGGGCATTTGCAGCATTGACTTATGGGCTCTGCAGTAACCTGGTTTGGAAGCCCCTCGTGAAACTGTAACCAAGGCTTACTCTGCTTGGGTTTGCAGTCTGGGCAGGAACATCTCTAATGGGAGCTCTCAATGGGGTACTGTACTGTACTGTAGGTTCAGGAAGTACACACAGGAACTATACAAAAGCACTGGATTCCTGACAGAAATATCAACTCTGACACTGAGAGTTTATTGTCTGCAAACTCAATGCAAGATGGAAAGTTAGCCATCAGCTAGCGGCGTGTTTCAAGATGAGGGCACCCTTCCAAATGCGTTTCCACTGAACGCTGCATCTCAAAGACACACTGAGCGCCTTGCCCTCCCTCACATTCCTCAGGCTTTTCTCACAGTGTGACCTTCCAAACCTCACAGCTCCTTCAGGCCATTACTGCCAGGCCGCTGTGCTCAGAAAGGCACTGGAGCACTGAACTCCATGTGCAGGACACGCTGCGAGGGGCAGAAGCCCACCTTTCCCTCTGCTGCTCCCATTCTGATGAAGGAAATCTCTTCTGCTGAATGAGGAACAATAAGCTCGGACATGGAGGGCTGTGGCTCTGCTAGCAGCCTGCCAGGCCCACAGCTAACCTGTAATGCAGTTATGTGTCTCTGATGCAAGGAACGAATTTACAGGATCCCATCATTTGTGTCTTCTCTGATCAGCAGAAAATGACTTGTTGATGGAGCTCATCAGCTGTGAAATCCTGCAGCTGATGAGCCTTGATCAATCTTTGTTAGCTAACTCCAGTGCAGAGAGAGGGAGATGCAGCTGTAGAATTTATTTTAGGACGTATTTAGTCTTAGTGGGTCATAAAAACACACAACTGCCTGTAAAAGTGAAAGCTATGTTCCACTATTGCCTCAAAGAGCTCACTGCGACGTGCCACCTGAATATCTCCATCACTGAAGTTGACAACGCAAGAATTGCCAGAGTCAAAACATGTGATGTGTGAACTCTTCATACTATTCCCTGGTTCTGCTGGCAGCTACTGGCCATCTGTCCCAGCACTGTGAGGGGAGTCCTACTTAAGTGCAAGTACCATTAGTAGCAGAGCAAGACTGAAGATTCTTGAGAGCTGATCATGTCTCAGCAAAAGCAGGAGCTGCACGTGCTGAGAAAAGAAGGAAGAAATAATTGGCACCTTCCTGTAAATATAATTGTGGAAGAAAGCAATATGGAAAAAGGCTGACCCACAATTACACTTACTCACTGAAATGACAATCCGTCCCCTGCTGCTACTATGCACTGGGCTATAAAATGTAATAACGAGGAACTGAACTATAACAGAGGCAATTCCTCATAGCCACTACCTTATTTGGGTGCACGGCACGCCGCAGGTTTTCCATCCATTTATCTCGCTCTGCTGCAGAACGACACGAGAAGCACTTACTTCCTGATGAAGTCGTCACCTACAGGGAAAGGAACAGGATTATGTCTTGACCAGCACACTGCAGACTGTGATTTGGGGGAGAGAGGGAGTTAGGAAAGGTGATAGGGATTGGTTTTTATTTATTTATTTTTAAATTTTAAGTAAACAGCTTTACCCAAGCATGAAACAACAGCCCCCTAAGGCCAGCAGAAAGACAGGGCAACTCTGTATGTCACAGAAATAATCACAGAAGCAAATTCCAATTACTTCTCCTCTTCCACACCAGAAAACACAAGATAATGGGCCCTGTGCATGTGATGCTTTAAACCACCACGTTTCACGACCGAGAGAGTGAAAATCCTTAAATGAACTAAAGACAAACTGCAACCACTCGCCATTCCTCCAGACTCAACCCGAAACTCCCAACAGAATCACCCATTCCTTGTTTTCAGAAGAGCACCTTCTGGACCCCAGAGTGGGAAAAAACATTTTTGGTTCTGAGCTCTGACCTGAGCATCACACGGATTAGTGATCTTCGTGAGATACTGACCATCAATAAAGAGAGCATTCTCATCTCAACAAGACTGTGAATATGCTAGAATACTACAAAGGCAAGGACAGAATCTGCTAATAAAACTCATGAGTGGGTGACCCCTCAAGTCAGATAAAACCTTGCCATTTTTAGAATGTCTCCAGTGCCGTACGCTCTGAGGATACTCAAAGTGCACTACAGGGGGTCTGGGTGGTGCAGCACCAGAGGCTGACACCCAAGTTCCATTTCACACAACAGCTGTTTCACCTGAAGCATTCAGATGGCTTTGCAGGGTAAGGCTCACAGTAAGCAGCACAGCCACCTGCAGGAGGACACACCAGGCCAGCAGAGCCACCACGGCCGGGCTGAAGGACCACGTGAGCAATGGTGACCACTTCCCCAGCAGTGCTAAGCCTCTCCTCTACATCCCCTCTGCTCAAGGAAAGGCCAGGATGAAGTTGCTTGGTTTTACGGTCCTGCAGCAGTCTTTTCTTTCCCCCCACAGACACAAGACTTTGGTTTGTTAACACAGGAACAGAACCCTTCCATCCTGACTGCCGCTCCTGCTCCAGGTCACCAGGATCCCACAAAAGCAGAGCCAGGAAAAGGCTCTGGGAGACCGGACTTGCAGAGTCCCTCAGTAGGCTGAGCTGCCCGCTGTATATTTAGCACACGCAGCCTCTGCAGGGGCACCAGATGGTTTTGCTGACTGGAAGGTCTTATAAGGAGAAAGATGATGATGTGGAATCAATTTAAAAAACAGTCAATGGGGAAAACAAGAAAATACTGACTTCCAAGTACTCAGCAAGTCAGTAAAAAAACAAGTTTCACAGACCTTAAAGCCTTCTCCAAAGCAAAGCAACCCAAGGCAACCTTCAGGCACTGACGAGGGGAAAACACTCGTGCAGTTCCACCACTCCTGGCCCAGAGAACCACACAATGCAGCACACAGTGTGTGCCTGCCCACCACCCAGTGCGGATCCAGAAAGATCTGCAAACTCATTTCACATCCGACCTAGCGCAGCATTTGAAGGAGCCTCTCTGGAGATGCAAGACAAGGCATTAACACGACGTGCCATTCAGCTCTCTCACCTAAGCCCTTCCCTCTGGAGCCTGCTGATGAGTAACCATCAGTTACAAACCGATGTCCCTTTTGTTTCCCAGCATTCTTCCCTTCCTCTGCAGGATCTGCAGAACAGCAATTAACGTGTTCTCTTTTCTGTATGACTCTCCTTTATCCAACTCACTTAAAAATGGAATTTTCTTCCTCCTTACAAGTGCACGACTTGTGTCATTTCCCTCTCAGTCAACTTTCTTCAAGTACTGTTCATATCCCTTCCTCTGCTCTTGTGTGCTGAACAGAATTGATAAACAACTCTTATATTATGGATGTCACATCTATTTTCCATCTAGCTTCATTTTATCTTTCTTGAGTGGAATGTAATGGAGGCCATATAATTTACAAACCTGTTCTCTCCTGACCTGCCACACTTGCTCAATTCTACAGAGAATGAACAGCACCAGAGAATTTATATCTCAACCCACTCCCTCAATTCAGAATTCATGTTCGGGGCTATTTTTTAATTTATTTATTTTTTAAGACTGATTCAGCATTACCTGCTTACATTTTAAGACGATATTTGAATTCATTTATTTCAAACTGTGCTAGTTCCAGAGAAATGTTCCCCTGTCCTGCCTGACTCCTGGACGCTGACACGGCTGTCCTTGTGCATCTCTGCCCATTCTAGGAACGTCTGCATCCCCACCAACCCCTCCAACACAACACTGCCCTGTTTCATCTACTCCTCGATGTTCAAGTACAACCAGGTTACCTTGTCTTCAACACAGATATTGACCATTTTATTACTGCAAGAAAACCATTTCCCAATCCTATATTCAGGCACTGCCATAAGCAATAACACTTTTCCACCCATGATGCATGACAAACCATTCCCAAAAGGTATGGCACTGTGTTACCCAACAACAGGCTTGTTGGTACGTGTTCCATTGCCTCCTGCTATTGCAGAGCTAGCCATGAGCCATAACAAAATGCATAAGCCAAGTAAAAAATACCCTAAAATACAGTTTTTATTTAAACAAACAAGTTTGAGTTTTCTGGACAAAGTCCTCAACACTCCCACTGACAGAAGCAGTCTTTGTGACCACAAACAACGTCTGTGTAAACACAGAATAGAGAAGAGCACCTTCTGATATCTGCATGAACATTAACTACACGTTTATGCTCTGCTAATAGACAATTCCAAGCAGTCCAGGACCCGTCATGAGCATGCCCTGCTGTGACAATGGTTACACTGCAAAGAGCTCACTGCTCTGATCTGTGGATATGTTCCTCCTTGGAAAGATGAAATAATTTTCTGCCCATGGAATGGTCTCTGTGCAACGATTCAGAGCAGAAATGCTCTGTAACAGCAAAAGCACAATCCAGTGCCTGGCTCCCCAGCCAGCTCTGTTACAGGGCACAGAGATGATGTGCTCCTTACCTCAAAGCAGTAGTCTTGTCCCAGGATGCTGCTATGGACCGGCTTGATGACCACTTCTTCCTCCATGCTGAGATCCAAAGCCTCAACAGCACTACTGGGACTGAGCAGAGACTCGTGGGAGCGCGATTCTTTCAGCCTCGGCATTAGATGGGATCTGGAGGAAAAATGCAACCGTATCAGTGGATGCTTTCCTGCCCAGAGAAATGATGAAGCCTGTTAACAACAACTGCAGAATATTCCTATGAATTTTTTGCTGTGAGATAAGAGATGGCCCAGAATAGCATCCCCCTGTGCACAGGCACCCTTCCCCCCCTCCAGACACGCACACAGCTGTACCACAGATGCAGTCAGCGTGCAGATTCTCACCCTGTAACCAACAATCTGAGGACTTGTGTGCTCCATCCCACTGTCACACACGACCCCAGGATGGGAGAGTGTGGAAAATAAGGCCATGATAGCCCTATCGATTGATCTAAATGCTCCGGAGTCCCACTGGCAGCATTTAGCAGCAGGGAGCCCACAGACAGCAAGCAGCACACCATTTTCAGAGGCAGCCAATACAATCAATGGTGCTGTAACTCTTATAGCAAAATCAGAGTGCTCAAGGGGGGGAAAAAAACAAAAAGAAAGATAGCTAGATACTCCCAGGGAAAACACAAGACAGCCACAAAGTGGCAAGGGAAAAATAAAGAGAGCAGAGGGAGCAGTTGCTTTCTCTGTAGTCTGCACCACATAAAACGTTCCCATGTATGGCAGCTCACAAAAGCTCTGATCTCAGCAAACTCTGACCTTTCAAACCTCTGGCAAGCACTCTGAGTCTTCCAAAGAGACCACGTGTAGGTCTGTCTGTCCAGAAAGAGTATGCTGCTCTATTCAAAGGCACAGAAGGACAGAAATAAAGGCAATTTGAGATATTCTCAGCACAGTGCTCCCAATATTCTCCATCAGATTGTTTTTGCCTGTGTGCATTGAGTTTTGTCAGTCTCCAGAACAAAGCTGACCAAAACACAGAAATGTCAGTAGTGCATGCAAAATTCATGGCTTCCAGTGACTCACATGCCAAGCGCAATCTTAAGAACAGCCGAAGTCAAGTCTAAGATAAACAGCGCTGGAAGATTTGGCATTAAGATTGAGGCCACAGTCAGAGCCTGGGTGATAAGGACCAGCCTGCAGCAGGGTCATCCCACCCAGGCTGCATGATGGCATGGATGGAGGAGACCCTGCAGGGCTGATGGCCAGGACCAGCGTGGTGGCACCTGCTGAGGGGTCTGCAGAGACCCGCGTGGCCACACCAGCATCTCTGCTCAGGGAACAACCAACAGCCTCAAATGTTAAAAGCCTGAGGTTAACACAGACCCATATGGAATCACAAACAGCGGCTCAGAAGCAAAAGCCTCTCCACCCCATCAGCAATTCTCTAAGCGGCCCATTCACCCCATACCTCTTTTGTGGATAAATTGATCTTTAAGAACTGAGCACAGTCATTTCCCAGTACTTTGTGGCAATTTTACACTATTTTCACAGAAAAGGATCCATATCGGCTTCCTCTGAGTGGTACAGCAGATGAGCTGTAGGATGGGCAGACGGATCGGTTCCCCCCGGCGCTGAGCACCACGCTACACCTAGCAGCCCCTGAACAGACAGCTCAGCCCCAGTAAGCTCAGCATTGGGCATTTACAGGGAGGCTTCGTTCTGTAATTTACAGATGAAATTAGAAGAGCCAAGCAACTGAGCTGGGACTGCGCTCCTGTCTGGGCACATAAAAATATTGATAACCTAAGCCTACAGCTGAGGAACTGCATGCTGTAACGCACCGAGCCTGACTGCTTCATGCTGGCACAGATTTTTTTGTTGAGATTAAAACAAACCAAGGGTGTTTTTCATCCAAAATTACTGCAGCTGCAAGGCCACGGTTGGGAGTGCAGATGTGCAGCACAAAGAAGCACCACGCAGGAGCTTCTCGGAACACATTATGTTCTCACCACATTCAACAAACATTTATTTCTACCCCTCCATACTCCGCATACGCCTCTGGGTATCCTCAAACCAGCAGGTGCCAGCCATTAGAGGCTCTTGCTTGAGATTCCAGATGAAGGCTGAGGTCTCTCTGCCAGAGGCTCCCAGGGGCAGCGCCAGCACCGCCAGCACCCCAGGCCTGGTGCTGGGCCCGGTGCTGTGGTGTCACTGCAGTGGTTGGGCCCTGGGGAGCACAGCAGGAAGCAAGTGCAGGGAAGGACACTGAGTCCTCACATCTTCACACTCTGACCCAGAGGAGAAAACATTTCCCATGGCTGTTTGTGAGGATCAGGACATCTGCGGCACGAGCCACTTCCTGGAAGATGCTTGCTGTCTCTGTCCCAGCTCCCACACGACCCACTGCAGGCTGCAGGCTCAGGGAGATGCACTGCCCACCCCAGGACCCCTCGGCTTCACGCAGGGCCAGGCAGGACGTGGCTCCCTGCAGTCGCAGAGCCACCACAGCCCAGCCCCTCCTGCAGGAAGAAGTGCAGAAATAATAATAAAACAGCATCCCGGCTTAGGTGAGCTGATCAGATCCAGTCCTTGCACCTTTGTTTTAATACAGTGGGAACAGACAGCTGTCCAGAGACAACTCACAGCAGGATCCCTCCTTCCAAGCAGCACATGCAGTTCTTTTGCCACGGGCCTTATTGTAATCCCTTTCTATGTACCTAAAGCTCAGTCGAAATGAAGGAGGGGAAAAAAAATCTCATAAAGCACCACATTAGTTCTAAAGAGAAATAACATTACTGCTACTGGCACTGACCTGAGAGCCCTACACAGAAGCAGCCAGGCTCTGGTTATTAAAGGGAGAGGTTTACTGCCTAAGAGCAATGAGAGAGGATTGCTGTTCTAAATAATAACAGTCATAAAACATTACTGAGCAAAGAGATGCACTCCCACCCCACTGCTGCCCTCGTGAGCCACCAGAAGCGGGGTGCCAGGCGTCGTGGGGCTGACAGCAGCCCAACCCCAGCCTGGGCTCTGCACTCTCACCAGCTGGGAGCAGCAGCTTCCCCCTCCTGTGACACTGCTGCATGGCAGTGGGGACGGGATCGGCTCTGGGCCGCAACGGACTCCGTGTTCCCTCAGGAGCAGACAGATACACACAGCTGAGGGCACAGGGAAGGAAATATTTAGGGCCTGTCTACACCAGGTTGCCCTGGAGTTGTGTGTTCGACTTATACGGCCTGCTTCCAGAACTGCTTTCTTGTGAAGACAAGCCCTCCAAAGGAGCAACCCCGGCGCTCTGCAATTCAGGACCTCACCTGCCTGAAACCACACAGCTGCTGACTTCTGCGGTTTGTGATGGAAACGTTCCCGATATTTTTGAAAGATGGAACCGAGCACAAAAGTCGGCTGGAAGCAGACAAAACGTAAAATCCAAACGTGGAAAAAAACCTAAGAGCTCTTCTTCAGCCTCCTTCCGTCCCACTGTGGGAGCAGCAGCAGACGGAGGGACGCCCCAGTCCCCACTGGGCTCTGCTGCAGGAACGGCCTGTATTGCTGACCGCCCGGCACAGGGCCACGTCCCAACCCCTGGGGACGGACGTGACACAGAGCTGCCTCCCACTGACCTCCCGGCTGCTGCCGCAGTTCTCAGCCATTCCTTCCCCAACGCCTCACCCCACAGAGCACAGAGTTGCTTCCATTCGACAAATAAACATCGAAGCGATGTTATGGGAAGAACTGAGAGAGCAGCACAGCGGAACTCACACGCTCCCAGAGGAGCAGCAAACGCAGCTTTTTCCTCAGCATGTGGCTGAGGTCCCCGCCTGCACTCTGCACACATCCTGCCAGGGCAGCCCTGCTGTGTTTGGCCAAACCCATCTTCCGTGCAGCGCAGGAGGTGCCGCAGCCTTTGGGCTCCCAGGGCAGCTCCCTGCGTCACAGCGCCGCGCTGAACGCAGCGCCTTCACCGAGCAACGCAACGGACCTGTAATTAAACTTATTAACGCCCGCCCTTGTTTTCGGGCTGCTCTCAGTTTCAGCCGGCAGCGGGATTAATTACATTCGGGAGGACTTTGGCAGCTCTGATCAGATTCCATGTTTCTTTTTGCCAGCTGAAGGATGTCCCACCTGTGACACACACCTGGGCACGGCCGTGGGGTGGCTCAGCAGTGCAACACGGGGCTGGTGTGCAACGTGCAGCACGAGGAAACTGCAGAAGCAGCAAAAAGGTCCAAGAGCAAGAAACACACGGGGCTCCAAAACACCACTTGAGTTTCAATAACCAAAAACGTTAGAAAAGCAACTTCTCCCTCCTTCCAACAGCAGACTGGCACCATCATTTCCCTTCTTCAGAAGGGATCAACACCTCTATACAAAACACGACCACTCCTCACCACGTTAGCCTGCACCAGCATCCCTTACCGGCACTGTAGCTGCACACAACGGACACAAACCGGAGGCGCCGTTCGGAGCCCCGCGGTGCGACGGCACCGGGCGCAGCTGAGCAATGCCCCGCCGGCCCAACCCCCCAGCGGCACCCGCAGCTCTCCGCAGCTGGGAGGAGTTTGGGGCGCTGATTTCTGACCGGCACAGCTGTGCTCGGGGTGACACGAGAGGCGGAATCCGAACGAGAAGGAAAAAAAAGCAAAGCGGGATCTTTCCCTCCGGTTTAACCGCGAGCGAACCGAAGCCGCGATCTCCGCCTGCAGCCGCGGCCCGTTGCCTAAGGCAGCGACGATGTTTTAATAAATAATGATGAAAACAAATTCTTAACACACAGACTCATGGACGGAGCGCTGCTAAAAATAACCGCTCGGCGCAGAGGCGCGGGCTGGGATCGGCTGCAGGCTGCGGGCGCGCAGCGCGGCTCGGCCCCCCGCTCAGAGCCGCAGCGGCCTCCGGCGTCCCCGAGCGCTGCCCCGCGCCGTGCCCAACGGGCGGCCGGGAAGGGGCGGCTCCGCTCGGGGCGGCCCCGGGGACCGGCGAAGGGGACCCGCCCGGAGACCGCGACCCCCGCGGCCGTGCCCGGAGCGGCCCGACTCGGAGCCGCGCCGCACACACGCGCGCACGCCCGCGCATCCGCGCACAGCCGCCCCGCCGCGCTGCTCACCCTCCGGGCCCGGCTCCGCCGCGCCGCCCCGCTCCGGCCGCCCCATGCCGCGCTCGCCGCTCCGGTCGCCGCCC